ACAAAATTATTTCAAAATTAAGGACATACCGTTCTTCATGATCGGCGTGGTGTTTGCTTGGACTTACGTGATAACTGCTTTTCTAAGCGTCTTGGCACAATCTATCGGGCTAAAGAATGGTTATCACAATAGAGTATGTGTCCTTGATTCTTGCTATATTTTATCCAATTTATTAAATTTATTTGGATACTTTTAGGATCCAAGACCTTATAAATCGATGCTTAGAGGTGCATTGTCTAGAACGGTGGCTGCACATCAGGTCGCTTTGGAAAATGCACCGGGTAAATACTCGTTGAATGTTTGCTAGCATTTATGGTATGATATTGAATTGTGTCTCATAGAATAATTAACATTCTTTTTCTTTTAGCATTTTTCGCTGCAGTTATTGTTGCGTCAGCAAATAAGGTGCCTTTAAGATACAGAACTAGGTAGAATGGATGTTTATCAAATCTCAATTACAACTAATTATGAGTTTTGCTAACTGTCTTTTACATAATAGCTTTTCGATCATGTATACAGCCTTGCGGATTATCCATACACCGCTCTATGTGTTAGATTTTGACGTTGCCCGTGCTATCGTTCATATAATGGCTTTATCATGTACTACATGGCTATTCGCATTCGCTCTTTTGCCTGGCTTTGAAAAAAATTATTCTTCTTTAATTGAGGTTGTGAGCATCTTACGAAGCGTATCCGATGATTCTACATGGACATTTGATTAGATATGGTTCCTAAGTGATAAACTTCAAGTCCACTCGTTATTTGTAACAAATTTAAGAAGTTTATTACAATTTGGATATACGTGAGTTTGCATTTTGTAAAAATTAGATTTATATATTAACAAATTCAGTTTTGTTAACAATGTTATCTGTTCTATTTTATTTTATTGGAAGGATTTATTCATTTCCCACATTAGAAAACACACCATTATAGTGACAATCAAAAAAATCTAACACATAGTGCGTTTGTTCTTTATCTACAAATCGATTTCGTTGCCGAAGTAATATTTTGTCACAGGAATGCGTGTATTCTTATTCCGTAATTTCGTGTTTTTATTGATTTATTACCATTATTTATTGATATTATCTATATTTATGTTTGAGTTTATATAGAGTAGGGTGGTAATTAGTTGAACATTTGTATGAACCTTTTTGTTATAGATTATTAGTTAACGATTGTTTGTCATATAATATTTCTGAAATTTGTAAAATTTTGGTTACTTTGCGTTATTTTATGTTTGTTTCATAATTATTGACTAATGGGTTATATTTGTGCCTTGTGAATAAAAAAGAAATTTATCAATAAAAATTTTAATATATACTAATGCTAACTTGATGTGGAAGTTAATAGATAATCAACCCGTATTGCTCAGGTCAGTATAATTGATCCTATCATGGCGTAAGTTCTATCACACAGATCTTTGAGCCGACTCTTATAG